ATTAAACATTCGCGCAAGTGACAAAAAAAAACGTAGACGCACCATCATATTACAACGACAACAAATTCATTCATAAAGAACGTGCGTCTGCTTCAAAGCAAAGTGCGTTCATTCATAACTCTGCGCCGCGCTATTTTCTCTGTGCGCCTGGTAAACCACATTTGGTTTTCATATAGAATTCCTACGCAAATGCGGAGGATACAAACAAAAATTAATTTAAATGAAGTATGTGGTAAAATTGAAGATCACCAAAATTTCAATATTACAATTTGGACCGCTGAAAATCCTACCATCCATTACCTGCAAAGCCCTGCAAAAAGGACAAACGAGACAACATAGCCGATCGACATTGTCGCAAAATTGTCCATTGAAACAAATTTTGTCAACTCCGCCACGATGCGTAAAATTTGGCGTTAATATGTATGCGAGCTCATATGTATATATGTATGTTTGTCGACAAAGTCGTCATTTGGTTTTTTTCAATAACACAATGTCCGCGCGAACTCGCCGTTATTTCGTTGGCTTGCCACCATGCACAGAGGCGTGTCAAGTGAGGGCTCATAATACCTATATTAATATGTTGCTTAATTTGTACTGAAAAATACTAATGCATTAATGTCTTATTGACGTAATATAATTAATAGACACGTAAAAATATAAATACCAATAAATTCATACCTATAATCGTTTTTAAAATAAATTCGATAAATAAAATATATATCTGATATAATTATGTGGCGCCCCTGACCCCTTCCTGCTTGTGTCCGTTCAACTTGCTTCTCGCAAAAAGCAGAAAGTGTTGACAAAAGTCATTGCTTGTGCGGGGCAAGAAGAAGCAAGCATCAGCGTACGTGTACTTATGAATGCATGTGTGATTATCACATATGTGTAAATACGCATAATAAGGGAATATGCAATAAACCTAAACATATGAACATATTATGTTTTCCTGATATATTTTAATTATCTCAGGAAGTAAAATATGCTATTAAAGAAATTGAATTATGATATGCTTTGACTCCAATTAATAAAATAAAAAAATTAAATAAAATTCGTTTTAGGATTCGAACGTATAGGCTCGTATTCGGATTGTGCTTAACCCCTTCCCGCTTACGACCTAAGCCACCACAAAAGTGGAAAAAGTGGAAACGTGGCCGCTTAGCCACCGTTTTATTATTATCATTTGTTTAATAAGTATATTGCTTACGCAACGCACATACATAAGTTAGAAAACTAGCTTATTAAATGTTTATTTTATTATGAATTCTGGGGTTTTTACCGGTAATACAGTTTTTTATTTCAGAAGGCTTTTCATAATTATAAATTTGTCATATCATAGAAATTGAAAACATAAATCTAAATAGGTATGCGCAACGATTTTTCATATAGGAATATTCGTTGTGTCTATTTATAGCATTTCGCACATTGCGTGGTGTATTTTTCTTTTTCGAAGTTATATTTTTCAATGTTCCCTCATCTGGAACTACAAATTAGTACTCAAAAGGATTTCATTTAACATGTGCTCCTTCTCTATTCATTTACATTCTCTGATGATATTAGGGATATGAGATTGAGACCAAGATCTAGACCAACTCTAATGAGGTTCAGCGGCTTGTTAGAACAATGAAAATTACTATATGTACAAGTACTTGTACTCTTATTTTACTCTTATTTTTATCGATATGTAGGCTGTAAGGTCCGTCGGATGCTCGAAAATATTTCTATTAGGTATATAGGGCTAAGGGAAATATTGACTCGATTCAACCAATTTTTGACATACAATAATATATCTCACACATTGTCCGATATTTCCGGTAGAAAGTCCACATTACCGGTATCTGGGAGCTTAAATAATTATAGTCCGATTTTGACAATTTTTAGACCTAAATTTGGATGGCATATCATAAAGGCAATATTCGTGCAAAGTTTTATCCCGATATATTATAGGAGGTAGGCGTGGTTATTGTCCGATTTCACCCGTTTTTACAACGTAACATGAAAGTATCAAACTAGTGCTAGGCACCAAATTTGGTTGAAATTTTTTTAGTTGGTCCGGAAATCTGCGATGTCACTCAAAAGTGGGCGGTGCCATGCCCACCACCCACATTTGACATCAGCCATTTCATACCATTTCGGGTGTAAAATTTTATGTCTCTAGCGCGTTTAGTTATAGATTTATTACACTTTGAGTAGTTTTTAACAAAACCATTATATGGGTAGTGGGCGTGGTTATCATCCAATTTCATTCATTTTCAAGCTAATGATTTGTGCAGTGCAAATTTTTGTGATATAGCCCGAAAGATTTGGGAGATATATACATTAAACTTATTAGAGGGCGGGGCCACGACCACTTTTTGAAAATTTTCAAACCTCAGGTCCTCTCGTTATTACGACTCGTTGTACCAAATTATAAGTGGCGATTAATGGCGTTTATTGCGCGTGGCAGTGGTCCGATTACGCCCATCTACGTTCTCACCTTTTTACTAAGAAACACGTGCACCAAGTTTCATTAGGATATCTAATTTTTTATGCAAGTTATCGCTTGTAACAGACAGACGGACTGACAGAAACTCACTCGGATTTCACCTCGTCTTATCATCCTGATCACTTAATTATAGATAACCCTATATCTAACTCAATTATTTGTAGGTAATACAAACAACTATTAGGTGAACAAAACTATTATACGCTGTAGCAACATGTTGCAAGAGTATACATATGGTATTAAAGATCTGAATTAATAAAAATTTCTGAAATGAGACGTTATTTTAACAACGTTCTACAGACGTATGGAATAACTATTGTACTTGCAAATTAATTAAGACTTTGTCCATGTCAGCCATAAAAAAAGCAAAAATAAAAAACAGAAAACTATTCTTACTAAAACGTAAAAAGCAAACGTATTTCCCAAGCACATTAATTCTAATTATTATATTTGCTGCAAGTCGATAACTCACCTTTTTCACATAAAACTGATAAAATTATAAGAAAGGTTAGCAAAATTAGAGATAAAATACTAAAAGATGTAAATAAATATAAAGCAATTACGTTTGATCCAACAACAAGATTCCAGTCAAGAGCAAATGCACTAGTGGGTGAGTAACTAAAAAATTTAGTGATTAATATGGACTTAGAAAAGTATGGTACACAATGTAAACTTCTGACTTTTCACTAATAAAAACTGAGTATAGACCTAGAGAGTCTATTAAGTTTAATAAGGTGTATATTTAAGACATGAAACCTTCCACAAAGAAAACTAAAAAATAGTTAAAGACATCTTAAAAAGAAACAATTATCCATTTAAATAGAATAAGAATGAGAGAACAAAATTCTACTTCTTCAAATTTCCATTTGTAAAATCGTTGACCGTAAAAATATCAAAATGTCCTGAAGAAACGGAACGGACCTGCATATTATAATTTGAAAATACGCAAATGGCGCTAATTCTATATACATCAGTCGTATGTTTCAAAAACAAAAAAAAATACTGGGATTATAAAAAAATAATTGATATTTTACCTGCTTTTAGCTCTTACTTTTTATTTAATTATAAAAACCTAAAAAAGAAGAAGTTGCAAGAAAAACAACCAAAGACGAAAGATATGTGGCAAGGCAACTTTATAACAGACAATATTAACTTTTTTCCAATATTAACTTGAGTATGAAAGATTTATGTAGAATTATTAACAACCAAAAATTTCCCTGCGATTTTTACAATTTCAAATTAGAAGATCACACTGAATCAGGACGTCGAAGGTTATGAATAAAAACTAATTCCAGTATTAAAATAATAATAATATTTGAGATTATGTTAACTTATTTATACACAGCTCAAACAATGTTTCTATAAATTCGTTAAAACATAACCTAGCGCAAACCTGCATTGACAAGAATAATCATGGAATCAGATTTTCAGTCTTGGAATAAATTAATTGTCTAAGAACCAGTTAACGGTAGACTTACGTATGTATGTATTTTACAAAATTTGTGACCACTAAGTCCAGCGAAGGTATGTAGCAATGACGCCACTAAGGAAATACTGGTACGTGAATCAGAAGAGTATATCAGTGGTGGTTTACAACATTATTTGACGCTATTTAAGCACAATCCTAAGGATTTACCACATTGACTGCCGACGAAATATGAAATGTCGCAAACATTAACTTGATCCGGCGAACCTGCTCCGAAGATGATTAGTGTTGGCCGTGGCTATCTTTGGGAATAATGGTCACAGAGTTGTCTTATGCACAATAATTTAACACCAAATTGGCAGATAAATGGCCAATGGAGCCTCGCTGGACCAAGTGAATTGAGCTATTCTGTACATGAGAGATAGCTTAATCTATGTCCAAAAGATGAAAGTCCAAAAATCAGATGGAATTTAAATTTGTGTTATATGGGTAGTAGGCGTGGCAATATGTCGCGACTCTCTGTCCGTCCGTCTGTCCTTGCAAGCGATAACTTGAGTGAAATTGAGATATCTTGATGAAACTTGGTGCATATGTTTGTTGGCACCCAAGGAGGGTTGGTATTGCAGATGGGCGTAAGCGAACCACTGCCATGCCCAGAGTATAAAATGTTCGGTTGCACCCGACCTTATACCTTCCTTAGTTGTTAAAACATCGCATATCTTTCTAGTTTTATCTATTAAAACTTTCACTGAACTTTAAGTTTTACTTACGCATATAATTGAAAATGATTAAAACAATTGTAACCCTTGCGCCACAGAAATGAGTTCTGCATTTACTACATAAATATTCCAGCTCTAACTACTATTTTTAATATCATATGAATAATGTTAAATTTTTCGAAAGTATTTTTTTTTTTTAATTATTTATATAATGCACATTGGAACTTACACTTCATACGACACTACTAAAATATACCGGTAACATTTCTCATTTTTGCAATTTTAAATTGTAATTTTCATAGATTCAAAACTTAAAAAAGTAGACAGACTCGAATTTCAAAAACATAAAAGTACAGTAAAATAAACTCACCTTCGAAGGTTTCATGTTTACACTTGATACACCTTTTTTACTTGAGTTTGGTTATGATTGAAATATTATACAGCAAAAGTTTTTTATTTGTGAAATACACTGCCAATATAGTGTTCAAACTTACTTCCAACATTAAGAAACACAAGCTAATTTTGATTCTCACTACAAAACTTATTATAAACTTTATATTGAAGCTTCGCTCCTCGCTAACATCAGATAAATTTTGCTGCAGTTGCGCAGTTAGTAATAAAGTCAAATATTCCATCAAGAAGGATATTATATGCAAGTTTTTAAGGAGAACTGTAATGCACAAACCTATGTAGTGTACATATCGTGCAATGCCACAGCATTTACACATAAGCAAAACATGTAGAACATGCATACATAAAAAAATTTATAGTACAAAATAACTTTATTTTATATAAATTTTTTGGGTCGTCCGATTTTGATCCAAGTTACCTATATAGTAATCCATCCGTCTTGTTACCCTTATAATTTTTATATAATATGTATTATATAACTTTATATCTCTCCTGATTAGTGATAGGTGTTATTGTACGAACAATTGTTATCCTCAAAACATGTAATGAGAGTATTAAAAAAGTTTTCGCTGTAATGTTAATTGGAATAGGGTTGCTGTGCTATAGTGTAAATTATTATAAGTGAACATCGAAAAAGCGCATGTTCGAAAATAAAATTACACCACTTCAAAAAGGAACCTACCTCTCTTGACAAATGTATGTATGCGCAGATGTTCTTTGGCATACGTATTAAGAAAAATTAGAATAACAAAAAGAAATAATAGAAATTAAAGAGCATTTATATATTGAGAGAAAAATTTAAACTAAATTAAAGCAAATTTAATAAAAAGGTATATAAAAATTGAAATAGAAATAAAACTAAATCTGTGATAGGGTTTGAATACAGGCAAAGTATTTGATATAATTTGAAATAAAGTGCTGTGCTATACAAGTAGCACCAAAACACCAAGTAGACAGTGTAGTCTAATCCGTGAGTTCAAACAGCTATCCTTGTTCCAAATGACCAATTTGTATGTGAATTTTCTCGAAATTGCCTTTCCTTCATTCACATGTCCAAATATATTTGTATATATGTACATATGTAAGTATGTCTCTCAATATGCCTTTTGTAAAAAATCAAACATTCGCGTAAGCGACAAAAAAATTGAAGACGCACCAGCCAAAATTTCAATTTACAATTGAATTGCCACTTATAATCCTACTCCCCTCGCATTTGCTATGTGTGATGCTTAAAAATCAAAAATTGAATAATTTGTCCGATGTTCCCTTCAGAAAGGAGAATTGGGAACATGGCCTATTAGCAACCTAAAATATAAATTTATTTTATTTCATATTATTTTAAGCGACAAAAAAATTGCAGACCCACCATCATCGACCAATAAGATTCGAGCAAGCTAGCGCCATATTTTCTAAATATTTCATATTACAACGACAACAAATTCATCCATAAGGAACGCGTGTATGCTAAAAAAACAAAGTGCGATCGTTTATAACTCTGCACTGCGCTCTTTTTTCTGTGCGCCTGGTCAACCACATTTGATTTTCATATGGAATTTTTACCGCAAATGCCCGAAAATCAATTAAATTGAATTTGAATAGGGTCATGTCAAAGAACACTTGCGTATACATACATTTGTCGTTCCCTTATAAGGTGGTGAAAGTTGGCTTGGTTGTTTCTTTGAGTGGTGTAGTTTGTTGAGTTCGCTACTCCCTCATCCGACCACTATATCAAGAAATATAATATTAATAGAGTCTATGAAATTTATTTTGAAAAAACTAAGTTGGAAATGAGTGCGATAAGAGATATTGGTTTTGGAATTACGTCTGATCTTTGGACCGACAATTTTTTCAAAAAAACATATATAGCTGTTACAATCCACTACGTGAAGGAGGGTAATTTGGTTAAACTTTTGCTGGGACTTAAATCTATGGAAGCAGAAAAATGTACCCGTAAGTAAATTTCCTACTACCTTTTGAAGCACAAAATAACAGAAGTCATATCTAAACGGCGCTTCAGCACATGCATTACATTTATAATAATAATTTTAGATGACATTTTACGAAAAGTAAAGGCATTGCTACAAGAATTCAACTGCGAGTTATCCAGAAATACCTTTATTGTAACAGATAGAGGTTCAAACATGCTTGCAGCTTTTCGGACTTACAACCACATTAAATGCATAAATCATTTGATTACCAATGTATTGCAAAAATCCATGCAAAGTATACCTGAAATATTAAATTTATGCCGTTTGTGCTCAGAACTAGTTAAATATATTAAAAAATCCGGCAAAAATTCTTTTCTACCAAAAACTTTAAAAATTATTCACCTACCCGTTGGAATACTTATTATTATTTATTCGAGTCCATTGAAAATAACTGGATGGAGATTTTTAAAAGTTTAGAGGAAAGTAATCAAATATAGAGATTTGATAGTATAAATCTAAGTTATATAAAACTAATTCTTCCCTTATTGAAATCTTTTGAAGAAGCTTCTAAGTGATAAACATCCGACATTGCATTTATCAATTATTTATGTACATAAGCTGAAAAAAAGTGTACAGTAAATCTAGCAGACTCAACAATTATAAAGACGTTAAAAGAAAGCTTAACAAATTATTTGGAATCAGTTGTTATGGATAATTAGCATTTACCACAAAATTGTGCAGTTTTTGTTTCCACCTGCAAATCAACTATTGCAATTTAGTGAGATAATGACAGAAATATAGCTCAAATAGAGTCAGAAAGTAATGAGCTTTTCAGCGATTTTGTGAAATGTCAGTCCATTTGTAATCCAGCACAACGCGTTGAAAGAAAATTTAATCGATACCGGATACTTTGGACGTAGCCTTTACAACTAGTTTTAATATTTTACAATTGTGGGAATTGAATAAGGATAAATTTCCGCTTCTTTACAAAGTATCGTGCAAAATATTAGCAACTCCGGCAAGTAGTGCAACCTCCGAGGGGGTATTTTCCGTAGCGCGTAATTTACTTTCAGAAAAAAGAACACTTCTTGCTTCCGATAAAGAATCCGTCAACCAAATAATGTTTTTAAATATTAATGTTACAGAAAATGATTTAAAAAATAATATTATAAATACCACTTAAAAATAAGTATATATATATACATAGGTATGTACTATATTACCAGATGAATTCTAACTTAAGTTTTAATTGAAATAAATACATATTTTACTTTCGTTTTGTTTGAATTAAATATATATGTAAATATGTATATAAGTATAAGCATAAGTTATTTTTATTTATTATTATTTTAAAATAAAGTCCATTTACTATTGAATTTTTAATTGTTAATGTGCATTTAATTAATTATGGATTTTTACAAGATACCGCTATACAAATACGTATAGTATCAAAAATAATCAAACATATGCCAATTTTGACAAATCCACAAAATGCATTGTTTTTCTAAACTGTGTGAAATTCCAAGATTTATGAATTTTTTGAAAATTCCCCAACATTAAAAAATTGTATTCAAATAAACGCAACAAGACAAAAACAATTTAAATGCATCAAGAAATGATATATTTTATTGCGTTTACATAGAGACTCTTTTGTCACTCATAATCATTATTACCATGAATGTGGTTATTGTTCTACCATAATACATAATACCCGCTTAATTGTTTCAAAGAAATAAGTCGGGAATTCCCTAATCCGCCAGAATGTATTGAATACCCACTACTAATATATTCAAGGCCAAATTTATAACAGAAACTTCCTAATCTTCTGGAAAGTATTAAAAATCCATAATTTTTTATACCATATTTTTTCTATTTATTATAAAACATCCTTGAATTAATTACAATTCTTGTTTTGAATAAAATGATATGCGAACTAAATCCTTTGCGGTTAAAAGAAATAAATATGAAAAAGTAAAAGTAACTCCATTTTTATTGGAATTCATTTATGTATATAATATTTCATTTAATACCGCTAAATGTTATTAAAAATTTAAATTAAATATTTTTGAGTATCTTCATTTTCTCCTTATTTACAATTTTTCAAAATATAATATTTCTATTATTCTAGGCATATATTAGGTAAAGTAAAAAGTTCGTTCGATTTAAGTCAAATATGCGCCGTTTTGTTCGTAAACTTGTTGCCAACGAGATGCCAACTTCATTATACCCCTCTCGTAGAAGACTGCGTCCCTATTGCCAAAAAACTCAGAGAGCCAATTTTCACAGGCCTCTCTTGAGGCCAACTTCTCATCATTAAGCGCGTTCGCCATGGACAGGAAAAGATGGTAATCACTTGGTGCCAGGTCCGGACTATAAGGTGGGTGCATTCGAACCTCCCATCCGAGCTTCAGGAGCTTCTGGCGAGCCACCAAAGTCGTGTGAGGCCTGGCGTTGTCCTGATGGAACACAATTCGGCCTCTGTTGATCAAAGATGGCCTCTTCTGGATGAGTGCTGCCTTCAAGCGGTCCATTTGTTGGCAGTAGAGGGCCGAATTGAGCGTTTGGCCATAGGGGAGCAGCTCGCAGTAGATGAATCCTTGCCCATCCATCTGGGACGCTTCCTCAGCAATTTAATAAGTGCTCACGTGACGGTCTCTTTTCACTTTTTCCATGATTTTATCGCAATTTCCGACGACAGGCCTCCCGATGCGTGGGCCATCTTTGACATCGAAATTACCGGAACGGAACCTAGCAAATCTCTTTTGTGCTACACGTTCGTTTACAGTATCGGGCCCATAAACTAAATTAATGTTTTCAGCCGCTTTGGCTGCTTTTTCGCTTTGATCGAAGAAAGATTTTAAAATATAGCGAATTTTCTCTTTGTTGGTGTCCATCTAGTACTATGGACAATAACGCCATCTCTTAGATAAAAACCGAACGAACTTTTTACTTGACCTAATATATTTGCATATTATACAGGTAGCCACTTCATATTTTCCATTCCTTTGAGAGTACTCTCAAATACTCTACCTTTAGTTGCGAATGTTAAGAATACAAATATCCATTAAGATAAAATATTCATTCCATTCCATTCTGTTCCGCTTCTAATTCATTCTCATTCATATTCGCTTACATAGAATGAGAGACCGATTCCATTCTAAATTCAAGAGAATGTTTTGAAGCTGCAAGCAAATACATTCGTGCAGCTGTTTAATCCACATCCATGTTAATCTGTATAAAAGAGTTGG